CATAATAATCGTACATAAATAGAACAATTAAAGATACAGTGATAATTATTTTTTTATATAACTTTGTATATTGTTTCATAATTATTAGTAAAATCACGTTACATACTTAAACCTTTTATAAATAATAATGTTTATACAAACTTAATTCTACAATTAATATCCACTTTCAAATTTCAGTAAAAATAATTCATCATTATACGATAAAATTACTTTTTATTATAGTATTTAAAATTTTACGCATGATAACGACTTACTTGCAATATATTTTATAAAATAATAAGTCATATGAATTTAATAAATTTTGATTAATATTAATTAATTTTTCAATACTCGGTATGCTCATTTGGGTATCGCAAATCTAATTATGCAGATATAATCCATACCTCATCTCCACGGATGAGACTATGACCAGTATTACAAATTATATAAATTATGACATTAATATAGACTAGATATAGCAAATATTCGTATAGCACAGAACAAAAATACTCGTGTTGTTACGAACGTCTTTCTCTTGTCGTGAGGGGCCTCATGGAAACTTCTTAAACACAATACACACTTCCGTCTTATTTTCCTCGGGTTTTGAGGGTTTTTACTTGTATCCGAATTGTCGGTCGCGCGTTCGAANCAAGTCTATATAACCCGATATATATTACATTACATTACAAGGGTAGAGAGGTTGTAACGATTATGTGAAACAAAATTCAAATTTCTGTAAGTGTTATTTCTATAAGTTGTTTCGCATAAACGTTCGAACTGGAACCGATGCAAAGAAACGTTCCAAAGTTTCAAAAATTTCAAAAATACCTGAGGATGACCTGCGGAGCAGGTAGAAAACATTTGTAGAAGAATAAATGTTAGTTCTCAGAAATATAAGGTGGTTGTGTCATTGTATGCAAATAATCTGAGTGTTTATTGAAGTTTAAAATGGCGTCACCGGCCAAATTGTATAGAAGATATAGAAAACTATGTATTAAGGTTGTAAAATGAATGCCAGGTTAGAATTCCTGAAAGGGTGAAAATAACAGTAAATAGAGTGCACTCGATGTCAGTCTATTGGATCAAGATACCAGAAGAGTGCAAATCCTTGAGAAGAAGGATACAAGTAATATGCTTAAATAGGTTAGTCAGAAGCACCAAGACTTTAAAATATAAAGCTCTGCATGAGCTCATCAAGCTGGAAGATTAAATACATTTGCAGAACCCTAATATTCTAGTGGACTTGGATGTTACCAAATTAACGGACAAGATGCAACTGAATCTAAAGATGAAGTATAGGAGAAAGTTAGATTGAATATATGACAAGCAAGTAATGAAAATCAAAAAGGAAAAGCCAGTCCTGTATACAATGTGGGACCATATCAGTATTAAACCGGATATTAAAAGAATCTTAGAAAAAGGCCCCAACTATGCCCTAGATAAAGCTACTGACTGGCAAAACACCATAGCAGAAATGGAAAGAGGCTTCAGATGTCTACAAGTGGTAAAAGGAAGAAAGGAAGACGGCCCTTAAGAGCAAGGGGCGTAAAGCGCAACAAGTAAAAATAAAACAAATTAAACGCACAAGACGTTGGTAGGTGGACAACGGGTTAATATTAACAAGAGCCGACAAAAGTAAACGTTTAGTAATGATGAATAAACAACATTACACGAGGACTCTGGAAGAATATATCGAAAAAACCGAATGCGAAAGGGTAGATCACAGCATAGTTGATAAATTGGATAAAAAGGTCAGAAAGTTAGAGCGATCACCCATTACTGTTATCTTTCCGTTTCTCAAAGGAACCAGTATCACAGGTCCTGATGTACCTAGACTGTTCGGATTCGCGAAAGCACACAAGAGTAACAAGAAGATCAGACCTGTGGTCGAAAAATGTAAAGGACCAACATATAAACTTGAGAAGCGCCTTAATGGATATTTGTCTGATGGAAAATAACCATTTTGTCACGAAGAACCCCACTAAGTTTAGTTAAAAAACTCCAAAGCATAGTTTTAATGGATAAAGAGATCGATACAATCATGGACTTTGAAAATCTATATCCGTCGAGAAAACTACATACATGTTATCATGCCTTAATGGACATCTTACGCATATTAAACCCAAGCGTGACGGCCTACCCTGAAGATATGGGGATGCTTGCTGACTTGAATTGTTTCCAGTCATTCTTCAGCTTTGAAGGCAAAATGTATAAACAAAAGAAAGGTGTGCCCATGGGCAGCCCGATGTCCGGATTACTTTGTGAATTGGTTCTACGTAGATTAGAACGGATGACGGTTAGGAATATTAAAGATGAGACAATATTATACAAAAGATACGTAGACGATGTATTCATTTTATGGAAGTATGACAGAAGAATACAGCATTTTCTAAATGAGATAAATTCTAATGAGGATGGCTGAAAACTAAAATTAGAGCAACTTAGTAAACAGAAGTACATTTTTTAGACATTAACATTACATTTGAAAACGGTTCCTTAACCACAAGGATATACATTAAACTTACACACGACCCATTGTACATTTCTTCTTCATCCAATGATCCGCCTGCTTACAAACTATCGGCATTTAGAGCTCTTATTAGAAGGGCATTTAATTACTGCTCCAACATATACGACAGATGGCAAGAGTTAAATAGCATCAGAACCGTTGCTGGATCCTTAGGATTTAAAACAGAAATTGTTGAAAAGTTAATAAAATCGTATTCGGTACCCAATAAAAAGAAGGCAAAAGAGAATACAAAGAAAGAAATTATTAAATTCACATATAGTATAGGAGTGTCCAGTATCATGAAGGAAGTAGCTAACTACAAGAGTACAATATTAATATATAAACGAGCTCCCACGATTTATAGTCTACTTAGAAACGACAAGGATAGGATGAAGAAAGAAGAGCAGTCTGGGGAGTACAAAATACCATACAAAAATGATCAACTAGGGCTAAATAAAGAATATATAGGTGTCATCAATAGGAAGTTGAGTAAAAGGCGTAAGGAGCATGTGCATGATAAAGGGCACTACACTACAGCACTGAAGTGGCAGAAACTGAGGGTTCAGTGAGTCTTTAGCACTGTATACATGTAAGTCTTTAGCACTGTCTTTGGAAAAATTTGAAATATATAGATCCGACAATTCGGGCAAATGTTTGAACTATAAAGACATCGCAAATTTACCAACAGCATGGAAGTATATGATTGATAATAACTCAGTGTAATGTTGTATGGAACCTGATCGCTTACGCATACGGCCGCTGGCGTGACCTATTTTTTAACCCGAACCAATTCGGTGTGGCGACTTCCGTGTCGCACGAGATACGGTGAGTTCAGTTCTGACAAGGCAGCAAAGAGGTGTCCACCCTCTGGTCACAATGTTACTTTTATTCAAAAATATTAAAGTTACTTAACTAACATAAAAATACACGGATAATTAATATCTTTCATGAGTTATAATAGAATTTAAATATTAAATTCCATTATTATTTAAATGTATTACGTTTTATTTTTTTGGAGATTCGATACACGTTGTGGGTTATTACTCAGACGTCATCAAACATTCGGTCAATTTAATTATTTACGGTGTTATTTTATAAATTTGAATAATAGGCTTATTCGAATAAAATGGCTTTGATAGGATGAACACGTGTTTTATGAACCTTTTATGAACGTCTGTTTAAATCAGTGTTTCTCAACGGGGGCGATATCGCTCCCATGTGGGCGTTTTTCCACGTTGAGGGGGCGATTTGTAACAATTTATATTTTAGGGGGGCGAAAATCAATTTTCTGGGCGATATAGTAAAACTTTATATTAAGAATAATTAGATATTTTATTCGTTATATCGTACAATAATTAAACAAATAACATTATATTAGTCAATAGTCTATTCAATGCAGCACGAATTTGGCGTTGGCCTTGGCCCTCGGCATCGGAAGTTTGAAGTGAAGGGGGCGATACCACGTAACGGTTTTATTAAAGGGAGCGACGATTCGTTAGAGGTTGAGAAACACTGGTTTAAATAATGACGGTATACGAACACTTTGTCTGGTGTTATTCTTAGTTTCATTTTCAGAACGAACAGGTACATTTTGAATAAGACGTATTACAAATTAGTTAGAGGCCGGAGGATGACCGAGCGGTCAAGGTTGCAGCCTGCTGCCCTGGGTGACCCTTGATCCAATCCAGACGAGTCGAAAAATTTCCAGGAATTGTTCAAGGGGATATGTCGAGCCCCGTTCCTAACCACCCAGCCGCACACGGCAGAACCCATAATGGGCTTGCTATAAGAAGCCCTCTTAGTGTCCTCTGATCTCTCCCTCTTTGGTTGGACTGTTCCTGTAAAAATTTCAAACAAGTTGTTCCCATCAATAAACCACGAGTTTCTTCTGTAGGTGCCACCTACGGAAGAAATTCGTTACAGAGTTTTAAGTATTGTATAAATGAACGAGGACGAGGTACAGGCGCAATTACTTTGGCTGCAGCCCAGTTTCTGCCATTTTTAGGATAGAACACATTTTGACCCGCAGAATCATAAGTTATTGCCTCGGTACTTCGGTTTCCACACAACTTGCCTTTCTCCCTTTGGGACTTAAGTTTCGCTGCTGTACAGTACTTTCTATTATTTTAGGTTTTAGTGAGTTTGCTTGGGTTAATTAATGAATGGATAATCGCTCGTAATAATATAAAAAGCTCATCGCAAATGGTGTCACACACAGTTTTAAAATTTGACTGGAAAGTTCTATTGCTTTCTATTTGTGAGACTTGAGCTGTTTTTCTTATTATTTAATATTTAGTATTCATAGAGTCCCTTTAAAGGTATTTACGTATTGTTACTTGTTGTATTCAACAACTTTATAACTAAATTACTGCATTTTTATAATAAATGAAATTTTGTCTGATATAAAACATTACCAAATAGATTGTTATTGATAGTTTGAATGATTAATAATATGCTGCAACCAGCATTCTCCAATTTTTTCTTGTGAACCACTTCACAAAAACTCAGAACAAATGAGAAAAGTACAGAAAAGTACATCCCGTTTGAATTACTTATATTAAATTATGAAGATTGGAGTCAGATTCCTCTTTTAGTTTTATTTAAATAACTATTCGAAGAATGACTTGTAAAATGTCTTTTATTTTCAAAATCTACGAATGAAATGAGAAGATCAGTGGACTATCATCAACTTCAGTGAAGTATATTGTTTGAATTCCAATTACATTGGAATAAAATGAGAAATGTAAACACCCATTAACATCGTGAGATTTGTTCAAGTCTTTCATTGTTGGTAACCAAATGGTGTTCTTATTTCCATTCATGATCAATTCGTAAGGTTCATCAGAGACGACATAAACTAACTTCTTCAATGCAATTATTAATTCTACAGTTTTTGTACGTTCATCAACGTGCATTGTTTTACCATCAACGATTTCGTAAAACTCTTTTAAAACTACTTCTTGATTGTTAACAGATATTAACTTCAAACAAAATCCTGAATCATGAAAATTTTCACCACATAATCTCAGCTTTAAACCCAAAATGAAACCAGATTTATCAATTGAGAATACCATCATATGAAGTTCTTTATCTAATGTGGCAATCTTTCGATAATCAAAGGAACCGTCTAATGTTATCTCCAATCCAAACTGATTCATAGCCAAAATATCAGGATTTGATACATCTGTTTGCCTCTTTTCATAAAGTTCTTGCTGATGTTCTGACATTCTGGTTATGAATTTCGGCAAATCTTTCTTTTCTCTTTCGTTTATTTGATTGAAACGTATAAATGGAAGAATTGGACGAATCTGTTGAATTATATTCTTCGATTTGCAACATAGACCTTCTTTAAGACAACTTTCTTTACCCCACTTCCAAGCAGCCCAGAATAAATCTGTCTCGCTTCTGATATTCAGTTCATCGAGTGATACTATGGCAATCACGGATTTCATATCCAAATGTACAAAATCTTCAAAATATAGCAAAATTATAGCATAGAATTTGATATACTGTAAGCATTTTGCTTGCAAATCTTTTTCTTTATTTAAACACGCGTAATCAAAGATACGAAGAATGTTGTTGAGACTCAGATTCTTTTGAAGGTACAACAAGCACTTTTTTGAAAGATTTAATATATTATATTTATTACATAGATCTAAAAGGTCTAAAGCTTGTTTCCAGTCTCGAATTGTGACTTTTCCCATGTAAATATATCTGAAAAATTGATTTGGGTATAGCTTAATGAGAGATTACATAATGGAATTCTTGTAAAATCGAAATTTCTCTAATTATTAAACCATACTTTTTTTTACCTGAGTAACTGTGCTACTGTAGATATTTGGTTACTTGACATATCAATTTCCTTTTTTTCGTTTAGAACCTGTTTGAAAATCTTACTGCAACTGTATAGAACCACGCTGTGAGCTAAGAAAGTCTTCTTGTATCCTGAGGAATTGCATAGAATTGTGACATCTGAAGATGCTTCGTCGCAGTATAGACTTTTCATATCCATTTTACGTATTCTTTTCAAAAATAATTACTTTTCACTGTAAAAAATCACAATTTTTGAAAGTAATGAACGTAAAGCCAACATTATAGATCAAAGTTTTAATAATATAAATTTAAACAATTCCATTTTGGAGATTTTACATTGTTCGTGTACGGTAATTGTTTATATTGCATTTCAGGTTTGTTGAAAATTATTCCAATTGCTTAACTGTCTTATTGGCATTCAACAAATTATGGCATTAATCAAGCAACAAACGTAGCATTGATTACCTAATTACAAGGTTCGCTTATATTGATGTCACATTTCAAAAGTATTGGTGCAATTACTAAAGGAAGTAGTCAGGAAAAAGTGGCAGTGCAGACACGAAAAATTCCGTATAAACGTAATTTAGGACCCATAGAAAGCACAACAAATTGTTCTAACAATGTATATAGAATTCTGGGAAGAACTGCTAACAATAACTATTTAAATTCAATTATAACCAACAGTAACCCAACCATGTCTGTTAAAGAAACACTAGAAGCGATACATACATACTCCATACTTGCCTGTATCAGAAATAGATGATCCTTGTCATACTGAAATAGAAGGAAGAAATAATAGTACACTAAACCTGTTTTGTGAGGATTTTATTGCCTGTACAGAATTTGAATTAGAACAGGCAGTTTTCTCTCTAAAAGGAAAAAAGTCTCCAGGTGTGGGTAGTATATTTGTTATTATGATATAAAATTGTTATGAATATGTCAAATCTGTTGTTAAATCTTTATAATTAGTATATTGCAATTTCCTACTTTCTAGACTGCTATAAAATTTCAAAAATTTACCTGATAAAGAAACAAAACTGTTCAGATGAATAACAGCTCGTGGTTTTCAGAATAGAAGTATGGATTTAGAGAAAGTAAAGACACAGAACATGCTATTTTCACTCTGTCAGCTATATTATACTTGATCCCAGGCTTAATTTTAATTTTCAGATTGATTACATTCTCGGTAAGGAAAAACGAGTTTGTCGCCAGTTGCTCGGATGTACTCGATGCACCTGGGGCATAAATACTAATTTTGCAACACCATTTTCACTGGTGTCATATATTATATAGTTTCTTATACTGCTTCCAGTTAGGAGCATATGCTTTATGTTAAACGTACAGCTAATAAATTTTTAAGGGTACAGTTTGCCTTCGTTGCTGTAAAACAGCCTCTACTGAGGTAATTCTTGTGTTATCTAAATAAATGCCACGGCTTCTGTATATTCAAAGAAATAGATTCTGAAATATTAGATTAGATGTGGATCAATGTTTCCAGTACATGAACATCATCTGTGGGGAGCTGTGAGAATCTATGGCTAAATTCAAAGAGCAAATGTTAATAAGTAACATATTTACATACTAATTTGTTGCTGTATGTATTTTTGTATTTCATACTTCTCTTATGCTGTATCGTGTTGTGAGTATATATATTGTTATACTACTATGGAACGGTTCACTTAATAAAGATTATCTGTTATGTTCTGTATGCTTTAACATACGCATTATTACATTGAATGAAGCAAGGCTTGCTAGTGGTGAAGTATACACTTGTATTTTTAACGCCAGGAGAAATAGTCTTTCTGGTTTCCTGTAGTAAGACCCTAAACTTGTCAAAACATTTCACTATTCTTGAAGAAGATATTAGATTAATTAGAAATCATTTTAAAGGTAAAAAAGAATTATTTATAAAATTTAAGTGTAAATAAAAATACTTTATTTTACAATTTTCATAATTCATCAATCTGCATCGATTTTTTTCTTAGAAAAATGAATAAAGTTCGCAATTCAAATATATTTATTATAGTTACATCACCGGATGTTCCCGAAATTTTACTAGTAATTAATATAAATAATAACAGTAATTCTTTGGAAGATCTTAAAATCTGGTTGCAGGAAAGCATAGGGTCTGATTGAATGCTTTCGGAGATACACCAACAAAGATTAATTCTGTTAATATGCAAGGCAGATGAAGAACAGTGTAGAAAATTTCCACCACCTCGACGAAGACATCGAAATATCGAAGAGGATTCAAAATAATGTAGAAGATCAGACAGTAATTTATAAATCGTTGTCCATAGATGATCATCAGGATGAAGGCTAACGTCCATACGAATCTCCAGAAATGATCATAAATACACGTTGCGAGAAATTCACAGCAATCCCAGAAAAATGAAGGAAATTCCATTATTGTTAATTGTTAACAATGTTTATTGTTAGTATCACAATGCAACAATGGTTACAATATAACTTACAATTCTTAAAAAGTTAAAATTTGTCAAAATTTTGTATTTATTTAAATGGCAGAAAATTATTTTCATAAATAAGGATACGACACAAAACAGGATACAGCCTAATACTAGGATTTTTCTTCTAATTACAATTGTTATTACGGTAAAAGTTTGTTAATCCGACAAGTATGTGAAAGAGTAATGCTGAATTATTGAAGATGCCGAATACGTTTTCATATCTTCGTGGAATTCCATATTATAAGCGATCTGAATGTTGCAGACACTGGTGTCAGAGCTGCTATATAATTGTGATTGGTATACACAAGCTATGGAATCAGGTATGAAAACTTATTTAGCTATGCATGTGTATTAAAAATACAGTCGACCCCCCTATAACACTGATGATAATTCCGTTTTATATGAATTCCATGTTGTACGAGTCACTTAGATTTTACAAATACGTGTGCCGGGCTGTGAACGGCTCACGTATTTGTAAAATCTAAGTGACTCGTACAACATGGAATTCATATAAAACGGAAAAATCAACAGTGTTATAGAGGGGTCGACTGTATACGCATTTTTTAAAAATAATTACGAAATTCGATAGCTTAATTATTGTAAAAATTTAATTATTAAAAGTATTTAAGATTAATTTACTTCAAATTTAATTATATATCCATCAAATCTTTTATTAAAAAATCCAATTTACTGACAATTAAAATTCTTCATCCCACGTTCATTCTGTATTGATTTTTGCTTACAACAAAACTTTTTATTATTTTCTTTAATTATAAATTTTATTAAACTTTCATGTGACGTAAATATGTCAGCAAGAGGTAGCTCGGTTATGACGTCAATAGAGTATTGTTCTTCTATTCAATAAAGTACTGTACATATAAGTAAGTATAAATATTCTACTATAAAAATAATTAACTTGGGTAGATTCTATATACAACAGAGGGAGAGTATGACGACTGATCGAAGAAACACACCAAAAATATTTACATTTTTGGATCCAGGAAAACTTGAAACGTCGAGAAATGCAAAAATTTGGATGATTTTTATGTATGAATGGTATGTTTGTATACAATATAAATATTTTGCATTAGGTATATACAATTATATAACACGAAAACTTTTTTATTGTTCAGCTGTATAATTTAAATATTTTTTTTCTTCTTTATTTGTCTAAACAATAAGAACTTGTTGTTCGGCTTAAAAATATACTTTAATTGTTTAGTTATATTGTATAAAGATAAATCGATTCTTGCGTAGATAAAACTGTATTGTTTAGCTAAATAATACAGTTTTATCTACGCGTTGTTCGTCTATACAATATGCCGATCGATGTTTCGTTCTTTTGTTGTGAAGGCCTAATATAGAAATATAACAAAGCAACCACATTATCAACGTTTAATTCTACATTTATATATAGATAGATCTTCTGAGAAATCAATATATTTGTATTTAGACAAACTTTCGAAGAGATCAGAAGAGATCTTCTTACTTACCTTTGCAAGAGGGGACATTGCAAAGAAGGTATTCCTTTATGGATAGTTTATCTTATCGTTTTAGTCTGTTTTAAACCACATCTGGTCTTTTATTACTTTTCCGACTGTTATAACAAGGGAAAGTATGGCAATCCGGCAGAATTTTACATTTTTTGGACTCAGGACAGCTTGAAACATCGATAAATTCAAAAAATTCGGGGATTATTCTGTATGTATGGATGTTAGTGTGTGTATATATATATGTGTGTGTGCAGGGGTATGTGTGTGTGTAACAAGATTTTGTTCACTCTCTTTCTTAATAACTCTGTGCTTTTTGTCCAAAATTTTAGCAGGGACCTTTGCGTATTAGGGGGATTTATGCTATTAAATTATATTAGTTAAAGGTCGAAGAAATGGGGAAATAAAGGAAATCGTGTGTATAAGGTCAAACCTAATGGAGATTTTACTTGTTATTAGCATTTACAATTTTTCTTATAAAACTCATTCATACCGTCAAAATTAAGGTTTTTGCCATCTTATAATAGTTAAAATTTTAAAAAGATTTTAAACAGATGGCGACACCAACATTTTAAATGTTTCCGGGAAAGTTAAGCAACTCGTTGCTGGTTTATTTTAAACAAGATCTGGTCGTTTATTTTTTAATTCAGTTACCAACCGCAACTTAATTATCAATTTGTACTGTAACTTGCAAACAGATTCCAATAATAAATTTGAGGGTGCCATAATCGATAATTGTAGCATTATTTTGCCATTTTAATAGATTGTTTTTTTTTATTTTGGTACAAAATCCAGAACAAAAAATTATGGTCGAAGAGCAACGAGCATGCTTCCTTGCTAACGACTCTCCCTCTCTCGTCCTTTACTCACCAAAATTTAATAGCATCAATCCTCCTATTACACGAACCTCCCTGTAAAATTTCAGAAAGTTTCGACAGAAAGCATAGGAGTTATTATGCTTCAAAGAGGGTGAATAAAATCGTGCCACACATACATACATACACATAAACACTAACATCCATACGTACAGAAATTACCTCCGAAATGTTTTGAATTTCTCGGCATTTCAAGGTGTCTTAAGTCTAAAAAAAGGCAGACGATAGCCGAGTGGTTACTTCAATACCAGAATTTTCTCTGCAAGATTGTAATGGGACTGACCTAGTTGTCTCCACTCTCTGCAGCTTCAACTCCGTAGATTTATTTGTAAGCTTAACAGTACTTAACTTTAGTACTCATAACTCAACAAAGATTCCTAATTTTACATCTTAAAGAGAAAGATAGGAGCGATTGAAGCTGCATTTTAATTAGCATACAACCTGCATAATAATCGTACATAAATAGAACAATTAAAGATACAGTGATAATTATTTTTTTATATAACTTTGTATATTGTTTCATAATTATTAGTAAAATCACGTTACATACTTAAACCTTTTACAAATAATAATGTTTATACAAACTTAATTCTACAGTTAATATCCACTTACAAATTTCAGTAAAAATAATTCATCATTATACGATAAAATTACTTTTTATTATAGTATTTAAAATTTTACGCATGATAACGACTTACTTGCAATATATTTTATAAAATAATAAGTCATATGAATTTAATAAATTTTGATTAATATTAATTAATTTTTCAATACTCGGTATGCTCATTTGGGTATCGCAAATCTAATTATGCAGATATAATCCATACCTCATCTCCACGGATGAGACTATGACCA